TAGATAGATAGATAGATACTAGATACTTAGATAGCTAGCTAGTTAGATAGCTCGCTAGCTAGCTAGATAGATAGGTAGATAAGTAGATAGGTAGATAGATAGATACATAGATAGGCAGGTAGGTAGGCAGGAAGGTAGATAGGCCGGTAGGTAAGTATGTAAGTAGGTAGGTAGGTCGGTCGGTGGGTGGGTGGGTGGGTAGGTAGAAAGATGGATAGACAGTCTACTTCCGCGGGCCTGGACCCCCGCCGTCCCCATGCGAATTTGATTTCTTCACGGTCTGGGCCAGGCATCGGGTGCACCATCTTTCGAATAGACAAGCAAGGGCTACCTTGACGCTGTGGGGCTTTCGGGCCTGGGGCACTTATGACACGAAGGGTCATACATAAATAAATTTATCATAATGTATATGCATACATATTTGTATGTATGTGTATATAATATATATATATATGCTTATGGACATTCTCTGTTTGTCTGTCTGTCTGTCTGTCTGTCTGTCTATTTGTCTGTATGTATATTTATATGTAGATATCTCTCCGTCGCTCTCTCTCTCTCTCTCTGCGTATGTATGTATGTATGTATGTATGTATGTATGCATGTATGTATGTATGTAGGTATGTATGTACGTACGTAGGTAGGCCGGTATGTGTGTATATATGTGTTTATTCGTATATACTCTGGCATCGATCCGTATATACTTGGGAACTACTGGCGTCCTTGTCCTTGTGTGTGTGTGTGTGTGCCGCTACAGATCAAATATTCGGGGCAGTCAGTGCCAAGAAGCGTCACGGTGGCCCACCAGTACACCTCACCGGAAGATTCCAGATCAAGAGCAAAAGGAAGCCAATAAACTTGCTAGAATCGCTGGGTCAGTTCCCTAAGCCAGAAAAGACCTCAGGCGGCAGCAGGGATGGCTTCAAACTCTACCGGCGAAACCTCAGGGGCCTCTTACGCAGAAGCGCCACGCGAAGACGCAAGCTCAATTCCTAGCCCTCAAGCATAACTGTCCACAGCTGACCAAGTTTAGAGTCTGGGTCTCTGCCGCCCGCCCAGGCGACATCTCTTACTTGCCCAGTATCCTAGGGGAACAAAGGCATAACCTTCGGCATTATATCCGGGTTATATAGTACCCAACAAGAAAGTAAAAGGTTGCCTACTCTACTACTAGGACCCAAGCCTCCAACGGCAAGAGCTCCAACCCTTTTGGTGTATGAGGCGAGCGACGTCCATTACCGTCCAGCATCAAGGCGCGAGCGTAATGCACGATGAGACCCTGAGGCACATCTCTCCCCGTTCAGCTGTGTCAGCTGTGACCGTGCTTGAAGTTGTGCGACGTTAGTTGCCGTCGGCTCATCTCATTGGTCATAAGGTTGTTGCATAGTGTGGACAGGAGTTGGCACCCACATGGCCTACAATATTCCCAACCCTAAACCCTAAACCCTAAACCCTAAACTGGAATTTGCATTCTGTTTCCTTGGCGGGCTGTCTGCTCAAAGCTCAGCAAGGCTCTGACTGACCTCCCTTACCGAACAAGAATACCGAGAGCAAGAAGCTGTCTGTTTGAATGTGTGTGCATGTGTGCGTCTCTCTCTCTCTCTTTCTCTCTCTCTCTCTATATATATATATATCACTTTCTGGTGCGCATCCTGGTCTACTGCCTCTGTCCATCTCGCAGCCAGCTAAAGCTGGAAGCCTACAGCACAGCAGATTTCCAAACACTGCGAGCCCGGAGCTCCCAAAGTGTGTTGCGAGCCTGCTCCACAGCCTTTTCCAAGGGACCCAAGGTCGCCTAAGCGTGGTTGGACTAATAGAGGAGACTGAAAAACTAGAATAGGGTTCTGGGGTATATTACACTATAATTGTAGCAAGGAGCCACAAGGTAGTATTATAGTATTCGTAATTACTTGGGCCCCTATGGTACCCCTCTCGACGAGCCTCTGTGGTGCCAGTGGCGATGGAGCATGTCAGGACTCTCGGGATGCTCTGCAGAGGCTTTTGCTGGGCAGTGCTATGCGAAGTATCTGCCATGTATTCGGCTCGTGCTGGACATCTCAGCTACTACAAATCCTTCCGAGGCAACGGCGTTTTCTTGCATCCTGGCCTGGTGTGGATAAGCACGTGAGACCGCAACAGGCTATGGCGGATCAAGGGAAGTGGGCTCAGGGCTTACTAGCTTTCCTGGTTGCAGTCCGGCTTTTGACAATGCCGAGCCACAGCAACAGCAACAACAACAACAACAAAGAACAAAGGACAATGATGTTGCTTTCGCGACGACTTGGCAGTGCCAAATGACACAATCGCAATAACAGGGGAAATAGCCGACAGAAAATTTGGCAGGAGCCGCCGTAAGAGTAATACTCAGAATGCCAGGTTGTCCCAGCATAACAAGTAGTTAAGTAGTAGAAGTGTAGCAGCAAAGCAGCGACTGTGCCAACATTTAGGGCTTCGACGCACAGAATCGCATCGGAAGACTATGGTCGTCATCGGCAGAACATCATCATCGCCGTCAAGATCGACATCATCACCACCAAGGCCGACATCGCCATCATCATCATCACCATCATCATCGCCAATGTCATCAGCAGCAGCAGTAGCAACCCCGCCGTCATGGTGTTCAGGCAGTGGTTCCTGTTTATGCCGTTGATCGTGCCGCTGTGATCGGGCAGGCGCTGCCATGTCTGCTGATCGAACAGCCAGTGCGGCGACAGAAACTTCGGCTGCTGGATTGTCGGTCTGCACGACCAGCATCGTCTCGAAACTGTAGCATGTTTATCAGTGAGTGCCGCTTCCAAGCACAGGGTCTGCAAGTCCAAGCGCTGTATTGGCAACATCCACAGCTCGGTAGTTCCTGAACTCAAAAACCTAAGACCTGATGAAGTTTCGATATTCTCGCTTTCACTACATGTCCGGACAGTCGATCTTTAGATGACCTGGCACAAGGATTGTCCTGTCAAGCGGAACAGACCGACAAGGCAATGCACGCAGGGTCTGCGGTTTCCCCTCTCTGTAGGGACAAACATCATCGAGGATCCTACCTGGACCCCATCCCAAGCTTCCTGGGCGCGTAGGCTTAGCTTAAGCATCTAATGCATGGCTATGCATTGAACGGTGGGTAGATAGTGGGTTTGGAGTGTAAGGGTGTATAGTGTATAGGTCCATGAGTGAGCGACTAAACTTCTCTCCCAGCCCTCCGCACCTGGTGCATCTTGGTCTTTCGCAGTCCTAAACCCAAGCCCTAAGCCCGAAGCCCAACCGTTTGTTATCTTAGACGGGCCCCTAAACCCTAAACACTAAACCCTAACCCTAACCCCAAACCCTAAACCCAGAATCATCTCTCGGCAGAAGAATGAGCTGCTCAGACCCTGTGCTTCAAGCAACCGACTCCCACCGTGCGACCAGTGATGCAACCACCCCTTCCTCGAGGAAGTCACGCGCTCCAGCGGCCCCTCTGGTATCGAAATGCATTATCCTTTAGGCTGTCCTGCTGAGTGACAGACGAAAGGGCAGCTGGCGGGGGAAAAACCCTAAACCCTAAAATGCAACTAACCCAATCTCTGGATGATCTCGGAACCCTAGACACCACAAAACCCGCCCGTAAATTCTAACATAGGGGCCGTAATAGTTAGAATAGGTTTTTGGTGCCCATTATGCTATAATCATACTAAGGAACCCCCCCAAAATAATATTGGTACTTCTCTAGGCTCCTATCTTACACTCGTAAACAACCTCTGACCGCGGAAGACACCTCAAACCCTAAACCCTAGACCCTTTTTTGAACCCAGACTCTGCCAATCAGCTGGGAAGCAGCACTTCCAGACTAGACCCTAAACATCCCTTTTTGCTAAACCCTCAACTCTAAAGCCAACGGAGCAGGGCAACTGGATCCTCCTGGGAAGGACAGGTTAAAAGGTGCACAGCAGCTTCCCAGAAACTCCGAACTCCCTTAATTAGTTTAGGTTTAGGGTTTACGGGTTTGGGGTTTAGGGTTTAGGACTACTAAATCTAGGGGCGCTTGAGGATGTAATCGTCAGTCTGCCAACTAATCAATCCCCTAACTAACGCTAAACTCCAGACAATAAAGACCCTAAGCCCTAAACGCTAAACGAAAGACCATAGGTATTGGGGAACCTTAGTATTAGGGCAGGGATATCGGAGCTCCATTTTTGACTCTGACGGCAATGCTTCGACAGGAGGTCCGAAAGATCAAGTCTCTGCGCCGGTGGGCGCTTAGCTCTTTATGGTTTGGGGGTTAAAACAATTTGTGTGCCATTGATTTTTTTATTATGGTTTGGAGCTATATACTGTTGTACAACTATACAGGAACTATTTACGGGGATACCATTCGAGCAAATATTCCGACCCCTATTGAAGGGTTTGGGGTTCGGGATCTAGGGTGAACACCTTTTCAGCACTCGCACTCGAAGCACCTTATCTCGGGTGGATGTCGGGCTTCTGGATGTCGCATTTGTTTTTAAGGTGGGGAGCTTAGGGCTGTGATGATGCATGTCTCGGCCCTCCGACCTCAGCATGCCTGCTAGCACACATCGCAGGCCACTGGTACTAGTACGACACAGGAAACTCCGGACCTGAACCTAGCTGTTTTTGACTATATATCCAAAACCCTAAACCCTAAAACCCACAATCCCTAGACCCTACACCCCACAAATCCCTAAACCCTTAACCCCATAATCCCTAAACCAATCCTGAACCCAAAGCCCTAGACTCGGAGCTCACACTCGGACCCTATATAAGTCAACAGTTTAGGGTTTTGGCCCAAGCTGGGAACCGTGGCCCATGGAAACCGATGTGTTTTTGTGCACTTTGTACAGTCTGAGCCCAGTGCGGGCATCTTTGCGCGAACCATCTCAGACGTCTGTGCCTCAATTCCTTCAAAGGCTTGCAATTCGACTATGAACATCCCACTCCAGCAGCCGAAGCCACATCCAACGGCACAAGGGTGACGAAGCAGCGCTGCAGGTCGCGCGAACATCTTTCTGTCAATTGCCGTTTCCAAAAATGTCCATCTCAACTGCCTCCTCATCCTCTTCTTCGAGCTCTGATAGGGTTTCCTGGCTCTGAAGCGACCAAGGAAAAATCGCTCGCAAACTTGATCAAACCTGTATACGTCCATGATCTAAAAATGACTTGCAATGGGGCATATATGTAAGAAACATGTGCCAAAAACGTGTGCCCAGGGTTCTGCTCCATCCGTCGCAAAAGCCTCCTCTAGCGTGTCGGTCTGGGGAATGATCTTGGCGAGCTCTGCCAGGAACGGATCATCCGAGCTGATGCTGACGAACGGAAGGGCCCGTGCTTCAATGGCAAATTCCACCTGCCGCAGTAGTTGTACTGTTTGTACGATAATCATAAGGCTAAGTACTAGCAATGATGCTGTTACTTGCTATAAACATAATAATGCCAGGATAACCATCAACAAAAAAGTCAGACTCATCATGATGGTAAATACCAGGATGATACTAACGCGTACTAGTTAGTAGTACATTTCTGCAATATTGTAGTAATACCCCAAAAAAGAAAACGAAAAGCAATTATCATCTTGCCTGGGAGATAAGATACTCGTGTAAGTGATTACATTGGTGTCTGGCAGTTTCGCGATGGACCGAACTGGGATATAATAGCAATCGCAGCAAGGAGGGAGTCGCGAGGAAATAATCATCACGACCCTAGTCAAACTATGAGTGCGTGAGGAGTGTCGACCGGGAGTTCTCCGGCCCACGGAACCGCTCCCTCGCGCGTTCTTTGCCCCTCCGAATACGTCATCGGGGATCCGGCGCAAAGTTCAACGCTCCGCCCACTTCGCAGGAACAGCACATTTCCCTCGATGATCCCTCACTGAAGTATTAATCTGGGACACTGGCTCACAGACGGGGCATGAGGGGAAGGGTGGTCGAACAAACACGCACAGCACTGGCAGCGAGACTAAGGACAAACACACTTTCAGCTTATGCCCTTGTGGCTGCAAATACCGGAACAGTGTCCCCTTGGCGTGCGGGGCGATGCCTGATGCTGACGGCATCACCCCTCGACCAAAAGGAAGTTCATCAAACTATGATGCACTGGCAGTAGTTCTAGAACTAACGCCCAAACGAAGACAACCACAACAAGAAGAAGAAGAAGAAGAACAACAACAACAACAACAAATTCAACCCCAACCCCAATACCAACCCCGACCCTAACACCAGCAGCAGCAGCAGCAGCAGCAGCAGCAGCAGCACCACCACCACCACCAACAACAACAACAACAACAAAGACAAAGCAAACACACTTGAAACCAACAACACGAATGATAATGACGATCATAATAAACATACTTTTTGTCAAACTCTGAACATTCTGTAAAAAAAATCCCCTAACCTCCTTGGCACTACTACCTTCTTCGAGAGCCCAGGGGTTACCAGCCCTAACCTTAAACACAAAAGCATGCCTTATAAAACAAAAAGCGTTATTGGTCCGAGTCTGCAAGGCCTGCACAGCCTCCCCATGGACCTCTGCAGAGAAACTCATGTTCAAGGTGGCAGACAAGGTCGACCAGCTTCTGGCATCTTTGCACTGAGGACATCGCTCCTGCCATCATCGGCACTTGGGAGGTTCGGAAATGCAAGGAGTAGGTCCTTTGCAAAGACTCTATGGATTCCTAAGTTTGAGACCCCACTTCGGTGTCCCGGTCTGGTCTTGGGATGACCTTGGGGGATTTAGGGGGTTTTGATTTTGAACTTTCAATCTCGGCCAAATTCAACGGGGGCCTTCTAGCACGAACAATCTTTCGGGGAAAGACCCCCGGTAAAGGGGTGCATGAGGGTTTCAAGCGCCAGATCGTGAGTGCTTTTCTGCCTGTAAGACATGGAACAGGCGAGCACCGAGGCTGACGAAACTGAAGCCTACGATAGTATTGGTAAGTATTGAGGCCCCTACATTAGACGACTTTGGCACTGATCTGCACTCAGGCCAGTCTATCCTCAGTTCAGATGACACGGTGGCTGTTGTCACCCAACAAATGGAACCCCAATCTCCAAAGCAAGACGGGGATCAACGAAGTAAAGCTGTCCATTCGTCCTACGCATTATATAACTCACCATCTGCACATTGAAACATCAAGTTTCGCGGATCAAGTAGAGCCCTTTTGAAATTAGCCTGCTGCGACTCCGCCAGTAGAAGCCCTTTTTTGCTTTTGCATCTGGTTTGCAGCGACCCAACCAGGACAGAAACAAGAGAAGCCCTAAACCCCTAAACAGTAGAAGGATGCGAGTTGCCACAGGCCTCCCCCGACTCCATGCGCTCGCAGAAGAAGCCTGGCTGGCACGACTGATAGGAACAGCCCCATGTCAGCTCAGAAAGCAGTGCTTTTTGAGAGTAGGTCAGGACAAATGCAACTGTGGCTTCAGTCCTTCCTTTTCCGCTGTTTAGACTCACAACTCGTTGAGGCCGGGTAAAACGATTTCTCCAAACAATGTGGCAACGCTATGAGTTGGTACGCGTCACCACGCTGAAGCGACTAAAGAATCCGCTGCGGGGCACTGAAGTCATTGCAAACGTCCAATACCGATACGTTGGATGTCACTTGATTGTCAAAATCGCGCTCCCACCGCGATGGGAGCTTTGGGTGGGAATCATAGTCCTGCCATGCCCGATCTTGACAGCTGGGATGGTTCTCGGGTATGTAGGTAAGGCCTGAGCTCGGACTGCTAGGTGCTGTTTCAGTCGGCATTGCATAGAAAAGGTGAGCTCGGAAACCTCAAATCCGATCTGGATGCCGGTACAGACACGACAAAAACATCAGGAACTTCACAGCTCAACATTCTGAAATCAGCTTTGAGACCTCCAGATCTGAAAAGCTTTAGCACAATTGCCTACTTCCGAAGCGTATAAAGCCTTAAGAAGTCTTACGAAAGATGGGTGGCACAGCTGGCTGCCATCGCGGAAGCTGGAGGACCATCCCTGACTCCAGCCGACCAGGCACAAACCCGGGACAGCTTTCGCCTGGGCAAGCAAAGAGGGGTTCTAGTGATGTAGGATCTTCAGGGGGATACCTAGGGGAATTGAGCCCAACTAAGCTTTGAGGCTCTAAGGGCTCGCAGAAGGTTTACCTGGTTCCTATGACCTTCACTAGAATTTTCAGGGTGAGGTGCTTAGGCTTAAAGGTCCTAACGGCCACCTAAAGGTCCTAGGCCTTGAAGACCTACAGATACTATTGCCCAGGCCCTGCACCGTAAAGGGTCCTACGTAGTGTGAACGCTAAACTCTAAACCCCACACCCTCAAGGGCCCAGAGCTTGCAATGGTTTGTGCTTTAAGAAGAAATCCATGCCGCAGCCAAAAATAACGCTACACCCTACCTATAGTCTCCATTGTAGTTCCTTTTTGGGGTTACCTTTTGGGATCCTTAATATAAAAATTGGTGAAACCAAAAAAAGGAACTACAATGGAGACTATAGGTAAACTAGTAGCCAAAAGAATCGCAGCTAGTAGCCAAAAGAATAGGGTTTAGGGTTTAGGGTTTAGGATTTATGATAGCAAACCTTTGCACCCGGCCCTTCGAGTGTCGAATCAAGCCGCCAGGTCCCTCATCGCTGCGCCGACACGGCTCCTCACCTCGCAGATGGTATATAAAAAGTATATGGTGGCATATTACAGTAGATTATCTTGATTGTATACTATGTGTTATATTGTAACTAGTATATATTGTAGATAGACTATATGAGCCAAACCCGACAATATGGCAGAAGTGATCCTCCGGTGAGAGATGTTTCCATTATCGAGCAGCTGGTTACAACAATGCGACCTGCGAGCTTGCACTTGTTCTCGAATTTCACTTTAGCTTAACTTGAGATCTTAGAGCGCTTTTGACCTTGACCCCACACCCCAAGGTTCAGGGCCAGGAAACCTTGCACAACTGCCCGGAGGATTGAGACGAGACCCCACCCCTTACACTGCGAGCGACGTATGGGTAGTTCTCGAAATTAGGGTCCCTTCTAGGATGCTTTTTATTACTATGTTATATTGGGGACTTAAGACCCAGATTGGGAGAACTACCTATATGTACCTTTGCGAATTTTGAGGCAGGCCTCGGCGATCGCCTGTCGGACCCACACGTGATTCCTAGTCCTGGCCTCCCTGCTGCACTTAAGAACTTCGGCCCTGAAAGTATAAGAATGTAGGGGATTCGAACATTAGAATAGGGTTCTTGGGCTCCGTTATAGTAGAATTGTAATCAGGAACCTAACGAATGCTGCTGGTAACTATTTGGACTACTAGCCATCTTCCGATTCATTCAGAATTACCTGTAGGCTCCATTATAATTCCTTCTTGTGGTTTAATGTAGGAACCATAAGGTGACCCCAAAAAAAAACTACAATAGACACTGTAGGTAGGATCTAAATCCTAAACCCGAAACAAATTTGCAGAGACCGGGACTGTACAACCGGAGGCAGTCACGAATCCACCTTGCCAGCGCAGCAACTGGTTTCCGGGCTTCGAGTCTGGGGCGCGGGGTCGTTAAGGGTCGAATACTTTATATGCGCACATATATATATATATGTATATGTATATGTATATGTATATGTATATGTATATGTATATGTATATTGTATATACATACACACATATACTTACTCGTTTAGATTCATGTATGTATGTACTTATTATATAACTTGTACACATGCAAATAAGCATATCTACATTTACATTATGCTGCATTGTCTACATTACATGTTAGGGCGTCCGGTGTTTCTTCGGGGCCTACAATGGTGACGACAACGGCCGGAGCGATGTGCACGACGTTCATCTGCAATGACCAGACCCCTTACAGAGTCTCTCCCTACATCGTTTTCCTGCGATTTGGGGTAGGGTTGAGGGTCTAGGATACTAGCACTGCGCTACTACGCTGCATGCAGTGGTGAATGTTTTCACCCTCAGTACAGCACCAAAAAGGACCGCCATATTTCTGTCCACTGAAACATCTTCATCAACTTCAGCAGCAGCCCGAAAATAAAGCCAACATCACCATCACGGTAACCAACATCATCACTGTCACCACGATCATCATCACCATCATCCAACCCGTCATCACCATTTGCGTCACAAGTACCACACGATGACCATGAGTGTCGCCATCATCCTGGATTCCTCCACATCCTCCTGTTCCTACTCCTGCACATGGTGATCACCATAACCACGTAGTCATCAGCATGTTCGATATAGATATTGCGCTTCTTCTCGTTAGCCTCATCCTAATCCCTGAGATGAGATGGCAAGCCGTCCATGGTCAGAGTAGAAAGGATCAGTATGATGCGATCGATTGACGTCGTGTCGTGATCTTGGGTGTAAGCCCAAAGGGTTTAGTTTACAACACCAACTCGCAGCGGTTTGCAACATCGTCACCTCCGCTACAATGTCAGGAACCCATGCACCCGCTTTGTCACTTCAATTCAATGTTTCATGGCTGGCGGGCCTGGGGTGACAGCGAGGCCGACCCGGGAAGATAGGTGCTGTGATCCTGCAGACAGGAAGGACACCGGAAGGACCGGAACTGGAAAATTCCAACGTTGAAGTTTCGGGATGCGGTCTGTTGCCGGGCTACATCGGCGTTCGGGTGGCATGTTGACGCAGCAGAAAAGAATTCCTAAAACCTATAAACCCTAAACCGAGTATAGGCTTCAGGGACCTGCCAAGCTTAAGCCCAGGAACCGTGCTCTTCGCAACCTCACCCCCCCAAAGATCGAATCTTTTGACACCCTAAACTCCAAACCGTAAACCCCTAAACCCCTAAACCCTAAACCCTAAAACCCTAAACCCTAAAACCCTAAAGCCCCTCAACCCCAAACTCCTACACTCTGAGCCAGGCCTGAGAAGCTTCGATTAGATGGCGCCGGGGCCCCGAAACCCTACTACGCCCTAAACTTGCCCTAAAACCCAGCATGAAACCAAAGATAGGTCCCGACGAATGGGACACAGATTTGTGTAGGGGGCCGAGTTTCAGATTCCAGGCTACTGTAAGTTTTGCTAGGGTTTGTGGCACAGCGCTTCTTTTGAAACGCATCTTGGCATTCAGGGCTCAGTTCCCGGGGAGGGTTCAGGGTGGAGCCCTTGCAGTGTCGGGCTCCCGCCGTCGACCCTCCTCCTCCCCAGCCCTAAAAAAAGGGAACCTGGGGCCGAAGGCTCTCTAGAGTATAGGAATCCTAACATGTTGGGCTGTTTTTTGAGGCCATGGTTGCTTTAATCAGGCGCCTACAATTATCTGCCTTGTCTTCACACGACCCCGGCATCCACGCGAAACGGAGACCAGCAAAAACGCATGTACGCATGCACGGCGACATCGGCCCTATACTCTCAAACTGGATCTCAAATCTCGTCCCGCAGCAACAGTGTTTCGATCTGTGAGGTTCCGGTTGAGAGGATGCCTGGCAAACTGTCCCAGGCGGGCCTCGCAGATTGTTCTCGCAAAGGAGATCAGCGGTGAGCGTCTTCGACTCAGAGTCCTTCTCAACATGCATCGAAAACAGCTAGGGTTTAGGGTTCAGGATTTAGAAGTGGCAGATTCGGCACAGACAAGTGAATTAAATCATTCCCGGGCTATCTTGGAAACACGATACAACCCAAGCCACGAAACAGGCCAATGAGAGTTAAGCAACACCAGTGAACACACGATAGACAAACCATGATAAACGCAGTTAATATCTTGCAGCCCCAGAATCGGCAGAAGCAGCACGCGAGGAAGTCATCCCCTCACGAACAGCTGGCCTGCAATGCGCAGTGCCGGCAAACTTGGCAATCAACCCAAGACCCCAGAAGTTTCAACTGCAAGAATGCTGATACAATTTCAATACTTTACGCGTGGCAAGCATACAAGAACCAAGCCCTCCAAACTCTCAGAAAACATCCGACACGAGATCGACGGTGCCACACCCGTGGTGGACTGACTTAAGCATGATACCAGGGAAACCTCGGGGAAACGCATGGTCTTGTCCAAGAACATGGGTCTACCCCAAACCTACGAGTGCATGCATGTAGATAGACAGATAGTAGAAAGATAGGCAGATAGATAGATAGATAGTTAGATAGATAGAGAGATAGATAAATAGATAGATAGACTAGATAGATAGCTAGGCAGGTGGATAGATAGTTAGATCATAGATAGGTTAGGATAGGATAGATAGAGAGATACAAAGGATAGGACGATGGATAGATAGGTCGATAGATAGATGGACAGATAGATAGATAGACACATAGACAGATAGTTAGATAGATAGATAGATAGATAGATAGATAGATACATAGATAGATAAACAGAGGGGTAGGTAGCTAGCTAGCTGACAGACAGATAGATACATAGAGAGCATGAGAGAGAGAGAGAGAGAGAGAGAGACAGACAGCCAGCCAGCCAGCCAGCCAGCCAGACAGACAGACAGACAGACAGATAGATAGATAGCTAGGCACGTAGATAGATAGATAGATAGATAGATAATTAGATCATAGATAGGTTAGGATAGGATAGATAGAGAGATACACAGGCTAGGATGATAGATAGACAAATAGAGAGCGAGAGAGAGAGAGAGAGAGAGATATATATATATGTATATATATAATATACACAGACACATGTCCATCAGCAGAAGGCAAAACGCGCTTGTCTCACGTTTTTCGCATGACTTATTGTATTCACAGAAGCGCGAATGTTTCGCGTCTAAAGTTTGACGTCGTGGAGACAGACGCATGCCTTAAGGGCAATTCAGGGTTGAGCATTGGGGCACGAACTGCTTGGCCAGAAGTTCTTAATCAAAGAAGAGGTGAGATACTTGGTTGCAAGAGGACGATGACTGGACAGGATGGATCTTCCTAGTTAAACTACGGAGACGAACACGACAACTACTACTTGCTCGTAGACTACTGCTGTGACGACGGCGCTGATTGTAATAATGTACGAACAAGCGAGGTGCGAGTCATGCGGAGTTATTCTTTGCCGAACATCCTTGCTTAGGCCAGCCTTCTGTTTGTGTTATAGCACGCGAGGGCCCGGGGCCTGCTAGCCATCATCTTGACCCACGGGAGCGGCACATCATGCAACAGCTTCCAGGCGAAGGCGGCAAAGGGCACCCGCAGCATGCGCAGCACGGAGAAGTCCAAACTGCGGATGCTTCTTGGATGGTTGGGGTCGAGGGGTTGGGTTTTACAGAACCTGCAGCACACCATTGTTAGGAACTCTGAAAGGCGCTTGGTCGGTTCCGGCACTTAGGGTACAAGGCATTGCTTTGATTGGCTTGCCCTGCAGACCCTGAACCCTGGAACTATAACCCCTAAAACAGGCTCCCTGGATAAACCAATGGGAGTTTGTTTGCAACTTGCATCGACAATCATGTGGCAATACGAGGGAACGCAACATAGAAATTATCAGTTGCACTATTTTTTCTGCCATTCGGCAGCAGATGTAGATATTTTTGGGTTTAAGGTATCGTGATGTATCCGCCTCGCTGGTGTCCCGTGTGAATGTGCTTGTGAACAAGGAAATCTACATAAGGATATGTGGCTCAGAAACAGGACGAATGGACACATATCTTAGCAGGCTGTAGGAAATTCCGCTAGCCATCGAGTTGTCCTTTCAAACAAAGCAAAACGCCCGTTTGCTCAACCTACCTCGTGAATGTGAGTTCCGGTCCTATAGGGATCTTCATATTAGACCCATACAGAAACAGAGTTTCGCCTGACCCGTGCACATGCACGCAGTTCCCCGCGCCCTAAACTGCCACTTAACCTGCGTGGTTCCTCAATCCCTGCAAAAACCGTGGATCACCGGTCGAAAGTTGATCGAGCGCACTCGCAAGTTGTTTCTCTTCCATCTGCACACCTGTACAAGCACTGTACAATGCAATTTTCGAGCCGACGACCAGGGATTTCAACCCTCAACATTAAGTTCATACAGCGGCCTTAATAATTAGAACAGGGCTTTGGGGTATGTTATACTATATAACTATAATAAGGAAGCCCCCAAAACTAGTTTTGGTAATTATTTAGGCTCCTATAGTAGAGTCATCCACTGGCTGGTGGGGATGAGGTCGGAGTGAAGTCGCTTTCCAACATGCCGTACAACTCGTCATCGATGAAGCGCCCCTTGTAGAACCAGGCATCTCGCAGCAATGCCTCTTTCTGGAAGCCCGCTTTCAGCAGCACTTGTCGTGACGATGAGTTTCCAGGGTTGATTGAAGCCATGAGACTGTGCACCTGAAGCTCCTGGAAACCGAAGCGTACCAAGGCCCTCATCGCCTCAGTGGCAAATCCCCGTCCCCAGTAGTCTGGATGAAGTGCATAACCCACTTCGCCACCAACGCTCTCGGGAAAGATTCGCCAAATTCCAGCATATCCGATAAATCGCGCCTCACCCGGCACTTCCAAGGCCCACTTGATGCCTCCGCGCTCTGAAAACCTCGCATGGGTGCTGGCAATCCACTGATGCGCTTCCTCCACGGACTGTTGCGGATCCTGCCGTGGAATCAGGGCTTGGAGTTTGCTCTTGGGCATTACATTCAATAACTCACATCATGACATCCACTCCAATTCTTGAGCATGTCGGCACAGGACACCGCAGAACTAAGGGAGTCCTGATCCAGAAACTCCATAACTCGTGCGTCGGAGCGGATTGCAAAGAGCGCAGGAGCATCTTCCTCCTCCAGAGCTCGAAGATGGAGTCGCTCCGTTCGCAAGGTCGGAAATCCCTGAAAGACCTCCTCGTTTATGCGGGTGTTCGCAGCTGCGGCCATTGCTGCCAGGGCTTCCGGCCAGACTTGGAGCCTTGGGCCTCTAAAGCCACAGCGTTCCACTAGGGCAGGGCTTTAGGGTTTATGGGCTTATAGGGTTTAGGGTTTCGACGTTTAGGGTTTAGGGTTTAGGGCCCGCCCTGAACCCTAAACCCCCAAAACCCTTTATACCTGGACTTGATGGGTGCTGGGCAGAGCCCTTGGTCCCATGCTTAGTTGGGTGCTGGCACCCCGAAACCCCAAAGCAGACCTGTACATGGAAACCCCAAAGAAGACCGGTACATGACCCCATCTGCAGACAAAGCTCTAGTTGTCCAGCTGGGTCTTCACCTCCCAGCCAGGATGTTTCACAGAAATGTTTCACATCCAAGTTTTGCTTTGCCTGTTAATTGCAATAGTGGAAGGGCCGTAGTTTTTTAGGTTCCACAGTACAAGCGTACGTGGGCTATAAGGCACTAACATTGCTATCGTCCTTACATTATGGGAACAGGAGGCATGATTGAGGACAGTCCTCACAGAGCCTCACTTCCTCACTGCCGACCTTCTTTCCCCTACGATCGCCGCCATGATCAGATTTTCTGGGCTAGGGTCAAGGCTACATGTAGCCCCCCAAATCCTGCCTTTGCCAGGTTCCTTATGTTTTTTTCTTGACGCTGGAATCCAGCACAAACACCTTGAACCCTAAACCCTAAACCCTTTGAACCCTACGGCACCGGCATCTTCAAAGCCACGGAGGTCACGTGGGCCGGCCAAGCATTGTCGCGGAAAGCCTGGGATACACGCCACCAAGGCCGCTGGCGAAGCTCTTGCAGGACTTTACAGACGTTCTTGTGCGCTGTTGCATCGGAAAGCCAATCTGAATGCGAGGATCGGAGATGTGATGAGTATGTAACCTTCTGGGACCCCAGTATCGGTGTGAGTACTACCTGGGCATACCTGGGCCCAGCTACAACAAAAATCGAAGATGCGATGGCCTCTGCAGACAGTGGCAAGAATCATCTTTAGTGGGTTCTATGCTATTCCGGACCCGGGTCTCTTCGAGCGAATACAGTAGCTCGGGAGGCAGACCCCACGCCTTGAACGGAAGTGTCGGTACTAGTTGACGGAGCACGTCGGACCAATGATCTCTGATTGAAACGCTGCATTGGCAATGATAACCAACCATAAGGCTGTTGCAATTCAGCCCCAGTCACTCCTCGCTCGCTCTCGCTCTCGCTCCTTTCCTCCCGCTCTCTCCTAGTCATGGATGACATTCGAATTCTGGCGTCTCTCCCTCTCTCTCTCTCTATCTCTCTCTCTCTCTCTCTCTCTCTCTCTCTCTCTCTTCCTCTTTTTCTAGCCTGGTCCCCAAACCTACATCCCAAGCCCGACGACCTTAGACCCCACCTACCCAGCAGTATATCCTAGGGCCCCCTTCTGAAAGACCCATCCTTAGGGGCTTCGCTGATTCAGCCGAAGGGCCGGAAAGTCTGTGAGGTGTAGCATGTTCTGCCAGGATGCTCGAGCCAGAACCTGACAAGTAGGGTTTTGGGATTTCGACGCTCACCCTCGCACCAGGCAGGCAAGGCTCCACACAGTTCAAGAAATGCAGACCAGAACCATCTAAACTATCACCCCAGTGGAGCCCGGGCTCGAGGCCACTCACGAGAAGAAGACATTGCTTCGTTCTCCCATTATCGTCTAAGCATCTAGGCACGGTGAACAAAATAATACATTCGCCTGACTTAGACACACGTTGTTGCCCTGCAGTAGAAACTCTAATCAAAATCAGTCACAAATATGCCATGTCTGCGAGTCTTGGCGGTCTCCTCATCACTAGATAGTGTCCTACGTGCACTAAAATCAAGCAGGCATTTGGCAGCACACAGAACATCGTCATCGTATCATGCTGTATACCCAGAGAGAGGGTGCCAGACCATGCAGTGTGCTCCAAGAACAGCTTCCACTGCTGGTCGTGGCAACATGAAGAATTCAGACGTGCAGCATACAAATTGACGAAGTCTCTTTCATTCAGAATTCATGCAGTCATGCAGATCGAATACAACGGAGTATTTCCCACGCAGAACTCTCGCATATTCCTCCAACCAGCAGAGAACAGGGCATGCAGAAAGTATCAAAACATCTCCAGAATACATCTCAAGTAGTGTGATATGCAACTCATGCAGGGTTCCCATATACTCGCCAGCAAGAGCGCGTCGAGCAGGGCAACATCAACGATTCTCCAGAATTTATCAGATTATCGAATGCCTGAATTCATGCCGTGGTTGATCAGACGTCTTTCTGAATTCCTGCGCCTTGCAGACATGAAGGAAGGATCTAGGGTTTGGCACTTCTCGATTTCTGTGTTTAGGGGTTTCAGGGTTTAGGATTTCGGGTTTTGGGTTTAGGGCACGACTAATGCTACAGGGAAACCTTTATGTTCCATTGGAAACCCAAAACTTAAGCCCCTTACTCTCACTGCATCACATGAGAAGGCATGCTCCTCTAGCCCGCACGGAACGTTTCGCGTACAGCCTGTGCCTACGTTATCGGATACTTTGCAACAAGTCGTGGTAAAGTTGGGGGCTTGACGCCTGGGATTAGTTTACGGATTAGACATGATTAGACTTAAGGCTTTGCAGGGCATGGAATGGTCTGTGTAGTTTCCTAGCAAGGCTGTCAATAATAAGCTCTCCGGAAGGTGCACTGAACTATTCGGATCTAGTTGGATCCTGAACCGCGGGGCCTCCCTCAACTTTCACAAACAGGGCCTGTCTTGCTTGCAGGCAGGCGTGCAGGTTCGAAGGCTACAGGCTCTCTGCCCGGCTTCTTCTGACGTCATGAACAGAAACCCAGAACTCTGGACCTCACCGACCTCGCATATCCCGAAATCCCCCAGTGGATGTATCTTTCAGGATCCTACACCAAGACGAAGGCCTGTTTTGCGCTTTAGGTGTCTAGGAATCTGTGGTTTCCAACTACAGCGCCCCTGGTGCTGAAATCCTACACAGGCTGGCCAATTCACCTTGAACCCTGGGTTTGCGGTGTAGGGTGAACAGAAGGAAGAATCAATCATCAAATTGCAAAAAGGGGTGCCCGAAATCGTGCCCAGGGCCCACAGACCCCCCCCCCTTCCCTGGAAAACCTTATCGCAAAGATCGTAAACCTGTAAACCCCAGATCCTGCCAATAAACCCTAAACCACCGGAATCGAAGTTCCCTTACAATCACCCCTATAGAAGAACCCTTGACGGAGCCCCTATCGCGCTCCGGCCTGCAAAGCTTCCCGCACTGAAGCGACTGGCCAGCCGTGTCCGACGTCCAGCTGCAGGAGCCGGCGGAAGTCCTTCGGCAGATTTTGGTGGTTTAGGCCCAGTTTAGGGCATAGGGTTCGTCTCAAAAAGAAAGGGGGTCCCCCCACACGGGCTGTAGTGGTTTAGGCTTGTTCGTGTGCGCTTTTAGGGTCTGTGTCGGCATATGACTACACCGTGGGGGAGCAAACCCATTTTCAGCAGATCTGTGCCAGGAACCTGACAAGTCTTTCGGGCGACTGCTTAGGGTTTAGGGTTTCGACTCACACACTCGCACAAGGCTGGCATGGCTGATGCAGGTCCGCGCTTGCTACCGTTTAGGATTTAGGGCTTAGGGCGTCGGGCAACTACTGCGGTATTGAAATAGCTCATATTAGCTCATTTAGCCAGCCTTCAGTTCCAGACTCTAGACATACTCCACTTCATTTGTAGGTTGATCACCAAAGAACCTAAATGTCGCTTGTTTACATTGCAGGACTTGCAGGACAGACTGTACAAAGCATGTGCACCTTTCTATCTAAACAGCTCCGAAAATGTACGTCCAGAAGACAGTCAGTGTATATATATATATATTACACACACACATACATATTCTACAAGAATGCGCATGTAACCAACATCGAAGCACCCCTAAACCCCAACCCTTCGACTTCCTGTGGCCACCGAGAACGGTACAGCTGCACCACATTGCGCCATGCAGTGCAGACCTGCGCTGTGCCTGCGCCTGTGGCCTGAGCCTACTAAAGGGCCTTAACAAGTTCAGTAGGGCTTTCGAGAAACTTCTTGTAGACTTGATAATGAAAAGGCATAGGAACATTACTCGATGTTATTCGGCTCAGATTTATGCTGGAGTTTAGGTATAGGTGTTGGCGGAATTGGGGTTAACAGTTTGTACATACCTATAGGCTCGATCATAGCTCCTTGTTGTGCTTTATTACCTTTAAGATCCTATACGGTAAACCCAAAAGGGAACCACATGGGGCCTATAGGTACGGCCTAGAGTGGAGTTTAGGGTTGAGGATGCAATTTCTAGGCTGGGAGCCCAGCTCTCAGCTGCAGAGATTAGGGCTTCGGTTGCCCTCAAAAGCCAAGCACCCTAAAGCCTGAAGGGGTTAAGATTGTCGAGTGCAGGATTCAGGAGCAGGGCTCAAGTCATCCAGGGCTTCGGCTTTAGGGCTTATAGGGCTTAGGGTTTCGGATTTAGGATCCTGCCTAAGCAAGCCCCGGCCCAAAAACGCAGCGCTTGCGGATTCCGCTCTAGTTTGTCGAAGCGACGATCTGTAGGGTCCCCGGCTATGCTGCTCCCAACGCGGGAGCCCGATGAAGAAACCCTGGTCCTGTAACCCGAAAACAGTCAAATCCACGTGAAGAACTAAGCACTGGGTTGGCACCTGAAAGCCGTTGAACGATGTTCCAAAAAAAAGGCTCTCTTAAATCCACCAAGAGAAAATTACATCCCAAAGGCCTTCCTTAATAAAGAGCAGAGCGACCAGAGGTTTCTTAACCGGGCCACCATATTACTTCTATTCTCGAAGTCAGGCGCACACGGGCCTCCTTTGGGAAAGAGACAGGCGGGAAGCAAGAATGCTCGCTGACGGGTTTAGAGCTGTAACAGTTTAGCAAACACCCTCATGTACTCGTGCATCCTCAACTCAGAACCCTGAAAATTAAGTGTGCGCTGCAAATTGTAGCTCCAAAGTATCTGGAGATGCAGTCGAAGAGGCCGCAGCTAAAGACTTCGCATCGCCTGGTTCATGCTGTTGACTAGGCGGCTCATGGCTTACTGGTCCAAGCTTCATAATGGGGTCTCAGGGGTAGGCACAAGTCAGGCAAGAAGTTAAGGCAACGTCAGCTAGACCTAGGTACAACTCCATGTGTATCCATGTGTCTGTTCTTTGTTCGTCTGGGTCTGGGCTTCAGCGGTTTGAGGCACCTCGGGCAGAATGGTGTAGAGTCATGCAAAGCTGCATGGAGAACAGTTGTGAGCAAGCTTCAGGGCTGGAACAACACCTCAACGATTTTTCGTCGGTGGTGGGATTTTGGAAGGGAAAGTGGTTGGACGAGGATCCTGTCACGTTTCGGTGTTTGAGAATGAGTTTATATGAGATGGGCTTAGGGTCTAGTCTAGCGGCAGAAGGGTCGTGTCTAGGTCGGTATCTGATATACATGCGCATGCACACGATGACTCGAGACCAAGACGAAAGATCCAGCAACCCCAAAGTAGGGATTTTGTGCAAGGCTTTCGGTTAAGGCCTTGCTTCACTGTGCTACAAGCATTGAGGTTGGTCGTCGGCCCAGAATGCCTCTGTCAAGGAGCTGCCTGGATTTTTGAAAGCTAATCGAACGGATCCTATCAGGCTCAGTTCTAAATATGTTCCAACTGATGCCCTTGAGGGAGGGAGCCTGCGTGCCCATGAATCCACATCGCCACGTGAGGCGCCGTGTCGCAGATCCAGTTCGAAGGCTGAGTGCGGATGGAGCTTTTCAACCTCGCCCCGGTGGCACCATGCAGGCTTTCGGGGGCTATTGTGTCGTGCAGACTCAGTCAAGCGAGAATTAGCAAAAAACTTTCGAGACCTTTGTCTCTAGGCTTCCTAACCTTAAGTCTGTCCCCCCGGAAAAATAAAGCTCGGGTCCCGAGCGTCAGAAACTCGTTAGTTGCAATCTGCCGATCTCCCTGGAACCGGCAACCCGATCAACTTGGCCGTGGTTATATGGCTTTTGACGTTCAGGGTAATACATGACAAACTACGACTACGATAGTTAGTATACTATGATCATAGACTGGTATAAGTTATACAACAGAAGATACAAGTTCACTGTATCCAAGCGAACCAGGTTCCGGAGGGAGGATGCTGAACTGGAGGGGCGCAAGCGAGGGACCTTGATGGCGGCCTGCCTCCACGTTGCCAGGTACCATGGTTTAAGGGGTTTAGGGTTTAGGGAGGTATCCGTCCATCTTGCTTACCTACAAACTCAACCGTGGAAAAGCAATCCCTCTAAAACCCCACCTTTCTGGCACTTCACCATCATTCTAACAAGGGCTCCCGTCTACGGAACCCTAGCCGTCAATTTAGGGAACCTAGTTGTTGAGATGTGCTGTAACTTTAATTCATGAAGTGTTCCCCATGCTTAAACGCCTCAATCTTATAAACCAATCTATCCCCTCTTACTCCTTGACAGAACCCTTCGGAAGGTTTTAGGACATCTTATGTAAAACGCTTCCGGAACCCTCACTTGGAATCCTAAACCCTGACAAAAAACTCGAAAGGCCCTGAATTTCGGGATTTTGGTATTTTGGGGGTTTCCGAAAAGAGGGGACCCTTAATGTAGTACCCGAAATAGTAGGATCCTTATTCTAAAGGACCCCAAAATAAGGTACCCTAAATTAAACCCTAAACCCTAAACTTTAACCCTAAACCCTAAACCCTAAGGTGCCTCTAAGGTGCCCCTAATGGTCGGACACTCCTAAAAAAAAACCTTCGGGCCTCAGGGAGCCGAGGTCGAGAAGCCAGCTGAGCACCTCCGGTCTTTGGGCTTTAGGCTTTGGGATTTATAGGGTTTGGGGTTTAGGGTTCAGGGTTTAGGGTTTAGGGTTCAGGGTTTAAGGTTTGGGGTTTATAGGGTTTGGGGTTTAGGGTTCAGGGTTTGGGCTTTAGGGTTCAGGATTT